GTTGATCTGTTGGCGGATAGGAAGGCTCTGCAGAGGGATCTGGACAGGCTTGATCCATAGGTTGTGGCCAGTGGTATGAGGCAAAGCACCAACTCCTGCACTTGGGCCACAACAACGCTATAAGCTTGGGGCAGAGGGGCTGGAAAGCTGCTCATGGAAAAGGACCTGGGGGTGCTGATTGACAGAGCTGAACATGATCCAGCTTGTGCCCAGGCAGCCAAGAAGGCCAGTGGCATCCTGGCCTGTATCAGCAATCATCCTGTCCCTGTATCAGGATGATCAGGGCAGTGACCATCCCCCTGCACTGGACAGTGATTCAACACAAGTTGACATTGAGAACACAAGAAAGACATTGAGTTGCTGGAGCAGGTCCAGAGAAGGGCAACAAAGCTGGTGAAGGGTCTGGAGCACAAGTCCTGTGAGGAGTGGCTGTGGGAACTGGGGCTTTTTAGTCTGGAGAAAAGAAGGCTGAGGGGAGACCTCTCTACAACTACCTGAAATCAGGATGGAGCAAGGTAAAGGTTGGTTCCTTCTTGCAGGTAACAAGTGATAGGACAAGAGGAGATGGCCTTAAGCTGTGCCAGGGGAGGTTTAGATTTGATACTAGGGAAAATTTCTTCACCAAAAGATTTGCCAAGCACTGGAACAGGCTGGTCTTCATTGAAACGGTTGTCAAGCATTGGAAATGCTGCCCAGGGAAGTGGCTGAGTCACCATCCCTGGAGGTATTTAAAAGATGTGTAGATGTGGTGCTTAGGACATGGTTTACTGGTGGACTTGGAAGTACTGGTTAATGGTTGGAGTTGGTGATTTTAAAGGTCTTTTCCAGCCTAAATGATTCTTTGATATTACAGCCAGTGCTCTCCCTCTCCCAGTGTGTAATGTCATTGCCAGCAGCTTCTCGTTTCTGTGCTCATTTCCCCCCAAGTGTGTGATTTCTAAGTTGCAGCAAACTTTGCTCTGATTCTCTCCTGGAGGCTGCCTGTGTGCTTCTTCCTCTGCATGCCATCCTCTGGAAGGTAGTTTAGCCTGAACATAGAATCATGGAATCATAGAACATGCCTGCCTGCATCATCGGAAAGGAGCTGTTGTCTTATTACAGCTTAAGGGATCAATTCATGGCAGTGGACTTTTTAGGACTGATGAAGCACTTCATAGAATTATTAAATTGCTTTGAAAATGTGTGCCATTATTTGAAGTGGCTCTCATCCTTTGTTTCATTTTATACTATAGATAAGAATTTTGTGGGCTATTGTAGGTATGGCCACTTACTGCAGGAGCAATACAGTGTTTAATATAAATGTTTAAGTATTAAACCTCTCAAAGAACAGCGTGAATATGTAGTATTCTCTGAGAATGTGTTATCAAGGACTTTGGAAGAGCTGTGATTATTTCTAATATTTGTTTTCTTTTATAGGTAAAAGAACTGACCAAAGAGTGGACAAACAAGTGGAACGAGACTCAAGATATTCTGAAAGTAAGGCAAATAAATAATTTTCAACCTGGCATTTGAACTAGCCTTAGTGGTTTTACCTAAAAAAAGTTCATGTTCTAAGTCACCTTCTTTGGCTTTTTATTTAATAACACAAAATTGTCTCAATGTTGGTTTAGATTATTCCAAAGAATTAGTTTTTGAGGGCTTTTAAGGGTAAATATTCAGGCATAGTGGTATTTTTGAATAAGTTTTTAAATCATATTAATCAAAGTTAGCACAACTCTTTCTTTTCTTCACCATAGTGACCTCACAGTGTGAAACAGCTTATTTCTAACTGATCTTTAAATTACTGAATGTTTTTATTGAGTTGCAAATGAAGAAAACCTGGGGCAAGGGCAAGTGGATCTCTCATCCCCTTGGTATTTGCATTGTGTCTACAAGCCCTGTGAATAATCACCTTTTAACTTACACTTGGTATCTCAGTGAATGTGGTGCAGAGTGGATACAGATCTTTGCACTGACCTTCAGATTCATGCTTTGGTCAGAAATGGCTTGTGAACAACAACTTTCAATGGGATTTCTGTGGTCAAATCTCCTCCGGTAGGTCTTCATTAAACCAAACAGATGCATCTGACCTAACGTGCTCTGGAGTCCCAAGCACAGCGATTTTTGCACCTGGTGCATGTAAGCTGGCCTGTGTTGTGTCCTTTGGATGACTCCAGACTCCAGCACTTAAATCCACACAGTACTCTCTCGTGTTTTGTAGATTTAGTACAGATCTAAGAGGGTAACTTGGAGATTTCCATACTGTGTTTTCTGCATGATGTAGACTCAGACTTTTGTGTTCTCTGTGTCTATCTTTGCTTTTCTGCTGTCCAGTTGTACTGGTAAGATTTTCTATTGGCATTTGGCTTGTGATAAAGGTGATAGTCTAAGGTGATACTTTAATGGGTCGCTTCATGATTCCATACATGCATACAAGCACACATATGTGCATACACACACAGAGAGAGGAATAATTCCCACAATTTCTTTTCCATAACATAGACTAACTTTTTTTTGCCAAAAGTTTTAACTATTCTGTTAAATAAAAACTGTGAAAACAAAGCTTAAGCTTTCATGACTTGCTGTATATGCTGAGCATAAACTTGTTTGGAGTGCAATTCCACCAGGCATTTGGAAGTAATTTTCTAATTCTCCTTATCACTGGCCTGAAACTTGATTTGTGTAGTTAATTTTTTGCTGTGTGTAACTTGTTGATTACTTGAAATTTTTTTTTAGTTCACCACTGTGTCTTTTATCTGACTTCCAAATAAGTTGAATGGCTCCATGCTTAAAAATGAGAATAAGAATAAAGCACAAACAGCATGGAGACAGAGCAGGGATGGTAACTGTTGAGCAGATGGCGTGACAGAATGGACTATTTAATGTCTGTCTAGATACTGAACTGGGAATTAGCATTTGCATATTCCTCGGAGATGTTTTGGGTCCAATTTTACATTATTTCTGTGTTATTTGGTTATTTTGAAACATCTATACATACATCTCTTTACTCAGATCTGGATCGGGGAGTTCATTGTCACATGGAGAATTTGAATTTTGGTCATTTTTAAAAGTGAACACGATGTAGCATATGGGAAGTTTTAAAAGCTGTATGTTGGAAATGCACTGATTCTTGCACAGAAATTACATAATTGCAGGAGGTGTTAACTATACAGTTCATATAAACAAGGGAAAGCTGCATTTGTTAAATAGCTGAATATAAAGGGCTTAAACACAGAAGTCGTAATTCTACATTTCTAGTTCTGAGCTTTTGGTAGTTTAATTCATACAGCTTCTGTATTTTGAGCTTTTATATGCTGATATTTGACTACATGAACATAGCTTGTATTTCACTTTTGGGTTAAGGGCAGTTGGTAGACCTTTCTTGGCCCCGAAAAACTGAAAATCTGCAAGAGATTTCATGGTTGTACTGTTTTATTTTACAGTGTTTTACTGAAGCTATCCATATTTTTATTCACTTCTTGTTTAACAATTCCTGAAATCTCTGCCAGCATACGAGAGGAAAAGGTCTTTTTGGAGGTTTGCCAGGCTGAGTTGCTGGAAAGCAGGTTTTAAACTAGAGAAAGCAGTGGCGTTTCTTGTCATGGACTCCCTAGAAGTTCACTGGCTTTTTTGTTTCATTATTGATGTACCCCCCTTGCACACAGAGACCGTACACATTGTTCATTTGTAAAACTAGAATGTCTCTGCACTCTTTGAGAAATGAGACTGTTCTCATGAATGTCACTGCAGTCACAGCTGCAACTTTTTCCATGCCATAGTAGAAGTTCAGTAACTTTCAGGACGTTCTTCCTTAAGGTACTTCATGTTTGTATTTATGGCGAAAACCTGCTTCCCCTTGCCTCCCCCTGGTCTTGCACCCCTGCCTTTCAGTTCCTGCCCTGCAGCAGGCTTGGAGAATTTAGAACCTTTTGCTTTTAGGTCCATAACACCTTTTGCTCTAAATCTTGTAGGCAGCTGATTCTAAAAATTCATGTAAACAGCTACCTATTACCTATTCATATATGCCTGCCAGATGCAAGTGCACTTGCTATAGTAGCTGAATGGAATTTCTCACTCAATTATATGTAGTTATGCCTTTTCATACTATAAATATCAGAGGTCGCATGGGTTTGAATTGTTCACATAGTCTGATGGGAAAATCTGTTAATGTTTAAATCCAAAATAATTGAAAGGATTTTGAATAAGCCTTGTATAATACAGGAAGCCAGATTCAGGACACGCTGATGTCTTCTGCTAGATAAACAGATACTGCTGGAAAGTTACCTGGCTTTTACTGAATGCAGTGCTTTCATCAAGCCTGACAAAGGAGGATGCATATTGTTTTGCAGGGAAGATATTCCTCAAACTTGTTCACCCTTGCCAGTTATTTTGAACCTTGATTTAAATTAGACCAGCAACATCTAAATGCTGCCTTGAAAACAATTCATAGAGAATAGAAAATACTATCCAATACTATTCAGCTAGAAAATACTAAGGAAAAGAATACCATCTGAAGGCAAGTTTTTGATAAAAAGTATTTGGCAGCTTAAAATTCAATTATTTTGGTCGGCACAGTGCCATGTGTGCAGTTGACATGAACTTCCCAATGTTCTTCTGTATTTCTGCTTGTAGCTATTATCCCCTTTGATGTTTGTCTCTATGTAGTCCATCCAAAGCTGCGGTTTTCCATCAGTGTGCATCTTTAGACTGAGTATGTTGAACTGTGTCATCTGTAAATGTTATCAGTTCTGGATTTGGTGCAGACCTTGTATGATAATGGCTGAGTGCCATTATCAGCTGCGAACATCTTGTATATCTTTTCATGGATTCTGTTGTCAGATTGGACATATCCTGGACTGGTGGTGATAGTATTCATAGTGTGCTCTCTTTCTTTGTCATTTTGGAAGAAGGCCTTTTGCAGAGCAGCTGTTTGGGTTCCTCTGAAGTATGAATTCCTGTCAACTCACACCTAATGCCCAAATCCTCCTGTTTTCCTTATACAAAGATTTCCTTATACAAGATTGGGGTTTTAAATTTGTGCTGACTCCATATGAAGTATTCTTTGTCGCATCCCACAGCAGGTTCTTGGTGGTGTTATTCTATCTGAAGTGACAAGCATTGTTTCCAGTGGTGATGTTTGTTTTCACCCTCGACCTCCTCACTATAATATGACATGACATTCTAACCTTACTAACCTACTATTGCAGTCTCTCCCATTTCCCTCTTTTTAATCAAAGGGAGGATATTATAATACTTAATAAATCTAATAAATATATGGAATGATGCTGCATTGAAAACCAAAGTAATATGGTTGATTTGAAGCCCATAGGCTTTGGGTTATTTCCTCAGGTGTCACCAGCCATCAAAAGAATTGTACTTCACAAAACAGCACCACTTTACATTGCTTCTCTATTTTCAGGTGTCTTGCAACCTCAGCACTTAGTTAGCTCTAGGATTTTCTTTTCATCTCATTCTTATCGAATCTTTATAGATTTTGTTTTTTTTCCTTTCTGTTGATGTTCTTCCATACACAGGCCCAAAAAGAAGAGGAGGGAAGAAAAACTGTTTGCTCTTTTCCTTAGTTTAGTCCTTTTTGTATTGTTCTTTTAAAGATCAATCCTGGGGTCTGTAATTTCTCTGGATGCTTTCTAAGATGTTAGGTAACCTATCCAACTTTCAATTTTTCTCTTTCTTTGAGGCTTTAATTGGTACAAAACTTCTTTTGATGTGGCTGCTTTATTTGACTGCATGTGTTGTCATTCTACTAGAGATCTTTCTTCTCTTACTGGCGTCTTACTTTTGTCATCTTTTGTTCATGTTCCAATTTCTTTAAAAACTAACCTTTAGCAGCTTTTATATTAATCTTTTTAAAATGTGTACTTCTTTATATAATTCTCTGCTTTATTCTCAAAATACAGCAACTTTCTTTTGTGTTTCTTCTCCCCTTTGCTGTTTGTGTAGAAATTGGTTTGACTTTTAGCTTTTGCCTTTTTGATGTATCTCATTTGTGCCCAGTGTTATTTAGATGCTCTTTTTTATTTTTTAGTTTGAAGTAGATGTAGAGTTACCTTTTATTTCGTTATCCTTTGTTTTGATTCTAATCATGTCATTAGCTTTGTGTGGCAGAGCTCAACTGATGTCAAAGGATGCAGAGATCTGGCTTCACAGAGTCTATTAAAAGGACAGGGTCTTTTTTCTGTGTGTCTCTGTCTAATTCTCTTGATCAATAGTTTAACTAGTAGCTGCTTCAACTGGTTTTGTCCTGTTGGATTTAGTGACACAGCCTCACTTTTGTCAATAATACTAATTCTGCTGCAGCACTCTACCACATGTTATGGAAATACCTTATTGAACTCTATTTATTGTTTGATCTTTTTGCATTTTGTGCCCCTTGGTCAAGTACTGGTTAGGAGTGCATTTTTATGCTGTAACAGTGGTTATTCTTACCTGGGGAAGAAAACTATGTCTATCTTCAAGCCTTAACATTTACCTTTTTT